CCTCTCAGGATTTTGGGCATCACACACATATACTCAGCTGCCAGGTCCCAAGACAGTACACTTCATGTGTAAACGCAAGTAGAAAATAAACTATGAGCATGTATTACTAAAAGTCTATCCCAAGCAGTGCGTGAAGAACATTAAACTGAAAATTGGATTGCTGTTTACCTGAAATTTAAATTCAAATGGGTATCTCTTACTTATCTTTGCTAAATTAAGCAATGTGAATATTTTTGATATATTCAATTTTAAGGTTATATTGACCTCCTCATTCTAGGAATCTAGCCCACTAAAGTACATAGAATAGACACTTCAACAATACAAAATAAGCCTTATAAATATCAACAAAATTATTGAAAATTTTATCAATATTTAAACATAAAAATCTGAAATCAGTTATAAAAACTAAAAAGAACTTGCACATGTGGTTAGTTTGCAAGATATATGTCTGGAAAGATCAAACAGAAACATATCACTGTGGTGTGCAATCAAAGAAACTGGATGGCCAAGAGAAAGGGGTGGAAGAAACGCCTCACTGCATTTTCCATTGTGCCCAACTTAACTTTGGAACTGTGCAATTTAAATTCCTTGTTTAAAATTTTAATTGAAGTCACTAAAGGGTGGCTGTCTGCCTAAGGTGCAGTCGTTCTATCTTTTCTATCAGGTAACATTTCTCCCCTTCTTCTCAGAGGAAGGAACAAAACTGTTCACCTGTCTCCCCTCACCTGGCTGCTTCACCTATGGAGTAGTTTGTTCTGTGCACTGTGATTAATGAACCTGCTTATACTATTTTTTAAAATTACTAAACATATAAATACTTAACTATTTAACAACGCAATACATTGAAATTAAAAAGAAGGGGTTACCTGGGGCTTTTGAGCTACAAATTCATTTTTTAGGTGTAGAATGGGTTTCCTGCAAAGTGACATTGTCCTGACGGAGCCTGCAGAGATTCCAGGAATGGACCCACCTGGGAGCAGAACAACTGCCTCCTGAAGGATGAAGTGCACAGAGCAACCAAATATTCTGGATCTGCCAGCAATAGTGAATTTCCAAACACCCCGTGCCCTTGTCTCCCTGGTATTTATTAGATTATATGTCCTCACTTTGTACAGTAAGTGCAGTAACTGTTAAAATTACTAAGAGCCTTCCTCTGTATAAGGGAATCAGGGTGAGACAAGGAACACAAAAGTTGGTTTATTGTTAAAAAGTTGAAGTAGCAGGGATATGAAGTGAAACCTTTGGGCTAATAGTCTGAGAAAGTTTTCAGATTGCCTGTAGAGGCAGACGTGAATGGTGACACCACTGAATTATTGAGGGAACTTCACAGTTGTGCCCATCTGCTAGAGCTCTCCATTGAATGCCTCTCCTCACCACCCCAGGACAGCTTCCATCTGCCCCTCGCCTGCCACAGAACGTCTGTTGTCCCACATTTTATCTGTTTAAATTCAAATCTTGCCCTGTCCCACATGGAATACTGAGCACCTGCCACAGGCAGATCATGCGCTGAGTCCTGTGCTTAGCTTTTCTCACTGTGGGGACTGCTGACACTTGGGGCAGGTCTCCAGTGCACTAGGATGGTTTCAGTAGGAGGCAAGTCTGTGGGATATGGAACTTGTTTTCAAACTCTCTACCATGCCTGCAATACCTTGGGAGTTTAAACTTGACTCTTTTCCGGGCAACCGCTGAAATATCAGGGCTCTAGGCATCTTTACCTTTCCATTAAGGATACTAAAGTCTGCTCGGGGTCTTACATACATTCCTATTCCACGTATAAGCTTAGAGATTGAGTTATGTTTGATAGCTACTTCAAATTCTATATCATCAGGCCAGCCTGCTGGGTTTTCTTCTGCAATATTTGTGTTTTGCAATCAAGTCAAGTTGTACATTTCGAATCTTCTTACTGCATGTTTTCTATTTCAAAGGGTGAGTAAAACACAACAGCTTAAGGTAGTACACTTTGAAGCAGGATTGCAGCTGAAATGTAAGATACCAATGAAGTAGAAACTATGTAAGATACCAATGAAGTAGAAATAAACCATGAACACATATTAGTAAAAGTCTACTCCAAGCAGTGCATGTAGCATAATTATACTTAAAATTGGTCTGCTGTTTACCTGAAATTCAAATTCAACTGGACATATTTTATTTCTCTTTCCTAAATTCAGCAGTGCAACTGTTTTTTTTTTTTTTTTTTTTGGAGAGATTTTCACTGTAGGGCGCGTGCGCTCGCCAGACAGACAGAGAGAGACATAGAGACAGAAAGCGAGAAATCACCCCCCAGGGCGGATGGTCACGCCGCAATCCCTTCTCCTCCATTCTCCTCTCGGGATCTTGGGCACGCATGCACACGCGCCCGGCGTGAGTTTTAAGCCACCGGGTCCGGGACACGAACCGCGGTCGACTACGTGGGAATCCAGCGACATAGCCATTACGCTAACTGCTGGTTCCCAGCAGTGCAACTGTTTTGAATACATTAAATTCTAAGGCTACATAGACCTCCTCATTCTGGGAATGTAGCCCACAGAAAGAGAACAAGACAGCAAGTACAAAGCCAGGCATTAGAAATATCAGCAAAATTATTGAAAACCATATCAATTTTTAACTATAAAAATGCTGAAAACTTTTATAAAAACTAAAAATAACTTAAACATGTGGTTCATTGAAAGATATATTTCTGGAAAGATTCAACAGAAACACATCACTGTGATATGCAATCAGCAAGAAAACTGAATGACCAAGGGAAAGATGTGGGATAAGACTCATCACTGCATTTTCTATTGTGTACAATTTAGCTTTGGAATTACGCAAAAGGTTAAATTCCTGTTTAATATTTTAATTAAAATCCCCATAGACAAGGCAGCCATCCTATCTTTCAGGTAATATTGCTGTCCTTCTCAGAGGAAAGAACAAAATTGTTCACCTATCTTCCTCAACTCTTGTTCCACCTATGGAGTTGTCTGCTCTGTGCACTTTCCTTAACAAACTTGCTTTCACTATCATTAAAAAACAATCACTAAAAGGGTAAGTATTTACCTATTTAACAGACAGTACATTTAGAATGAAAAAGATGGTATTGTATAGGAACTCTTAGCTACAAAGTCATTCTTGGTTGTAAAAAGGGTAAGTGACCCTGTCTGCTGGAGTCTCCAGAGATTCCAGGAGTCGACCCCACCTGGGAACAGGAGGGCTGTCTCCTCAAGGATGAAGTGTACACAGCAAGCAAATATTCCAGACCTGTCGACCACAGTGAATTTCCAACCTCCCAGTCCCCTCATCTATGTACCTGGTATTTATTAGACAATGTATCCTCAATTTGTGCAAAAAATACAGTGAGTGTTAAAATTACTAAGAGCTGGGGCCGGCAGGTGATGTTGTTAAAAGCACTGGACTCCCAGGAACCAGCCGTTAGCGTAATGACTATGTCGCTGGACTCCCACGTAGTTGACCGCGGTTCGCATCCCGGACCCGGTGGCTTAAAACTCGCGCTGGGCACGTGTGCATGCGTGCCCAAGATCCCTAGAGGAGAATGGAGGAGAAGGGATTGCGGCGTGACCATCCGCCCTGGGGGGTGATTTCTCGCTTTCTGTCTCTCTGTCTCTCTCTCTCTGTCTGGTGAGCGCACGCGCTCTATAGCAAAAAACCTCTCAAAAAAAAAAAAAAGCCCTGAACTCCCACATGACTGGCCAGGGTTCAAGTCCTGGACCTGGTGCCTTAATTTCTCCCTTTCTCTCTCTCTCCTCTGTTCAAAATTTAAAATAAGTAAATAAACAAAGTTAAATAAAATAATTCTTAAAAAATTACTAAGAGCCTATGTCTGCGGGAGGGAACTGGAATGAGCTAAGAAGCACAAAAGTTGGTTCACTGTTAATAAATTGAAGTAACAGGGACATGAATTGAAGGCTTTGGGCTAGTAATCTGAGATCTTCAAGTTGCCTCAGAGGCACACACCAATTTTGCTACCACTGAGTCCTTCAAGGAAATTCAGGTTTCTCGCACCTGCTAGAGCTCCCCATGGAATCCCACCCCTCTACAAGCACAGCTCCCCGCTGCCCCTCCCCCACCACAGAATGTCTGTTGCCCCACATTCTGCCAGTTTAAATTCAAATCTTGCCCTGTCCCACATGGGCTACTGAGCACCTGCCACAGGCAGATCATGCTCTGGGTCCTGTGCTTAGCTTGTGCCATAGTAGGGGCTGCTGACAGTCGTGGCCACAGAGTGTGATGATGGTTTCTGTAGGAGGTAAGTCAGTGGGGTATGGAACTTGTTTTCAATCTTCCTACCATCCCCGCAAGACCTTGGGAATTTAAACTTGATTCTTCTCTTCAGCTGGTCAGACTGAGGAGGAAAGAGAGGAGACTGGACACCCCAAGGGCATTGTCCTGGTGAGACCTAGCTGATGGCCACCTCAGGATGCAGATGGGGAAGAGGGCCCCTTAGAGTTTGGTTAGTCACTCAAAAGAAATAAATTGGATGAAGACAAGAATGGGATCGGAGGTGTTGAGCTTCCTAGAAGGGAGACGGGTCACACCAATGTGCGTTGTAGGTGGTGGTGGAGATGTGTATGGTAGAGCACAGGGAGGTTTGAGAAATGTTCTTTAGGAGACTGGATCTTAGTCTTTGACAGTTCTGAGAGACTTCAATTGCAGTAACCTTGATCCCAGGGGACCTATGGGAACAATTGGCCTGAGGTGAACAGTGTTGAGTAGGCTCAGCTATGACTGCATCCATAGTGAAATCCGTCCATGGAAGTGAGGCTGGAAGGGCTCTAACTGCCACCTTCCAGAGAGGCTCAGCTGTTTCTTACTCTAGGTGGCTCCTCTTCCTGTATGGGAGCTGCTGTCCTTGACTGAATAAGGCAGGGAAGCCATTTATCTTTATCCACAAAGGGGCTTGGTTTTCCTTAAAGTGTCCTGAATTTTTTCCCTTTTGTGGAAATTCGGGTGTTCAGAACCTATTGATCTTGTCCAGTATTTCATATGAAACTTTACTCCTCATTTTTCTGTGCAGATGAGGCATTTCTCACACCCAACTCTAATGTGTCATGAGCAGGGACAGATAGGGAGTGTGTGGGCTCTCCACTGGCAGAGTCTTTGAAGGTTGCTTTCCATTACAAGGTTGGTTTCCATTACAAGAAAGGAAGGACAGTGGCAGTCAATAAGAAGATGACCTTCTATTATCAATATTCTAAGAAGGGCCAGTGTCCTGAAGGATTAGGTGCATGTCTGTATAGATGTCCTCCGTGCCTCAGATATTCCTGATGCCCCCGTGAGCCAGGGTGTCTTCCACACAACTTTGTCTCATCTGAAAACTAGCTCATTCCCAGTTGTTTCTGGGTCTTTACATTATACTGTTGTGAAGTCCCATAAGAAGGACCATTTCCAACAATGCAGGCTACTGTGATCAGCCTTTTCTACCCCTCCATCCACCTCTTTCCATTTCTCCACAGCATCTTCAGTTCTGGGGCAGAACAAGGCTCTGAACTCTGGCTCTTCTACATCTTTACTGGGACTGCCCTTCCTCCAGACCACTACTGACCCTGCACACCAGCTGCCCAGGGAGTGGCCTACAGCCCCTGTACTGACTACAGCATTTCCTTCTGGCTGCTCCTTGGTGCTGTCTGCTCCCACTGAGACACCGTTAGTAACATCATTTGAGAGTCATGGCCCAAGTGCCACTGGGACTGTCAATATCATTCTGCAAGTCAGTGCAGAACCAGTGCTCAGCCAGGTTCCTCCCAGTCAGGTTTTTGTCCTGAATCAGGCCCCTGTGAACTGGAGCACCCTGGGAACCATCTCTGGAGCTGTGGAGGGTGCCCCTACCCTCCTCTTGGCAGCTCCTGCTGTGCACACTGTTACGCGTGCTCCAAACATCGAGGTGTCCAAGGTCATCCAGGAAGACCTGGAGCTCCAGCTCCAGCCCTGGTGGCCCAGATCACTCCCATCACGGCACCAGCGGCCACTGGGACACCGCCACA